CGCTGCTGTGGGGACTCTGTGGGAGGTCCTTTTCGTCCCATCTGCTCTGCTGCTGGATTCTGCTGAGCAGAGAGCAGCCGGGTGGCCCCAGGGCCAGCACAACGAGGCAGCAGCATTCGAAACCTTGTTTGCTCAGCTCCCTCGCTGGCAGAACTGCTTGGAAAGCTCGCTTGCCACCTCTGCCCGCCTTCTCAAGGTTGACAGGGACGTCCCGGCAGCTTGCGGGCTGGCTCAGTGCTGACGCAGCCTCCCGAGAGCTGTCACCCCGTGGGGTGGGTGCTGCGTTGTGCTGCCCGTGGGTGGTGGTGACTCCAGAGCGGGCAGTGCCTCCGCCTGCCCTCGCAGAGGGCCTTCCCCACAGCTCAGCTGAAAGCTTTCATCCCCAGTCTGGCATTGCGGGGGGCTTTCCGAAGCCTCCCTGGTTTGGGAGGGATTTCCCAGCACGGCTGAAGATCCCCCTGGGGTGCCTGCATCTGCCATGCGGAGAGGGCTGTGGCGTAGTGTCAGAGCTGCAGTCCCCCCTGCTGTCACACTGCTCTGGGAGTGGGGCAGGCGGCGGAGGAGCGTGGCAGGACCACGCCGTGGTACTCGACCGCGCCAGGGCCCTGTGAATGAGAACCTGTAGCCCTGAGGACCCAGCTCCTCGCTCCCTGCTTGAGCTGGCCGCTCCCCAGCCCCTCTTGGCTCTTGGCGGAGGTTTGGCCTGTGCGGTTTCCAGGGATTGTCCCTCAAAACCCAGCATTTTCCCTCCTCTGACCCCGTCCTACCTGGGAGATCCAGCCTTGGGGAGGCCTCACGGAGCCCTCTGGACCGTCGACTCTTCCCGCTCACCCTTCGTTGGAGCTTCCTCTGCCACGGGGCTCTGCCTCGGGCAGCCACGAAGCTGGAGCTTTCTGGGGCAGGGCTGCTTCTAACTGCCCTTCCCGTACAGAAGTGGGGTTGGCAGCTGAGTTTTCCCGTCTCCTCTGTAGACAAGAAGCTTGTGGTGTCCATTGAAGGGAGCGTAGAGGAAGCCAAAGCCCTGTACAAGCCGCCTGAGGACTCGCAGGGTGAGTTGGGGTGGTGTTGCCGCAGGCAGGCTGCCCGGTGCTCTGTGCAGGCGGGGGGTTTGGGCAGAGGAGCGAGCGGGTGCTGGAATGGCACGGTGCCTGGTGCCTGCGCTGCTGGCCAAAGTCCCTGGCAGCTGCTCCTCTCTGTCCCCAGCTCCTCCCTCCTGAGAGGCGTTCACAGCCCCTCATCGGCTGGCCTGACCCCTGGGATGGGGGGGCGCATCCTGGTGTGTCTGCGTTCTGCTAGGGCCCTGCCTCTGGGGGGGTGGCCGTGTCTTGGGGGGCTGTGGTCTTGGAGAAAGGGCTGGTGGTCCCGGTGGTGGGGAAGCTGCTGAGCCCCGAGTGGTCCCTGCTTACACCCCTCTCTTTGCGCAGATGACGAAAGCGATTCTGACACGGAGGAGGAGCAGACCACGGTAAGGGATATTGCTGTCCCCTTCTGGGTCCTCTCACAACACCGTATCATAGGCGAACCGATCTGCACCTGCTGACTGGGAGGTGCTGGGGAAGCTGGGCCCAAGCGGACCTGGGAACTGGTCCCT